AGCGACCACATGAACACATTATTTTGTAGCAACCCGATCTGGAGAATGGGTCAACTTTCTCTCTAAAAGTAAGCATGACTGAAGAAAGTGTCATAGTTTCTCTGAACACAGCTTTTATTCCCCACTTCCTTTCTTCGTATACTTTACAAATGTCGGCTTGCTGCTTCGCCTGGCGACTGATTCCCCGTTGAATCAATCACATTCGCCCAGCCACGCAGGGATTTCGCCGTATCTCCGGCGAGACTCGTTGTCACACACAGCACACGTAGGCGCACAAGCATGCGGGTGTGTGCACCCACATAATCTGACTGCTGGTTCAATAATTTCCCTCAATTTGGGTCAATTTCTTGCCATAAAATCGTGCCATTCCCTATTTACATGCAGGCATGCGCACACTGGTAGCAAAATCACATCTAAGAAGCAAGCTCACAAGAGGGACGAGTAAGAATAATGCACAAGACACTCACAAACACACACACTGCCTCATTCCCCTCTGCTTTATTGCTTTATCCCACGCATTACCTATCCACGTCTCCCTTCCCGCTATGCCTCGGCCGTCTGTTTACACTTGCCTGGCAGGTTGTCTACGCTCCAACACTTTGGCGTCCTTGTCACCAAGTCATTCAGACTCCTTTTGCCAGCGTTTTTATCTACTCTGTAATCTGGATGTCTCCATTCACGTCGACTTTTTGTCTGTTGCCCGTACGTCTGATTATCTATCTGACTGTTGTCTGTCTGTACATTTGTTGTTGATACTTAGTGCATTCATGCCGGTGTTCAACTCGACCCGTTCTGATGTCCATCCGGCTCTCTGTCGGTCACCCATCCAGCCTGCCTGATCGACACGTCTGTCCGTGCATCCCTGAGTTTGGCTGTAACACTGTCTTTTTGTCCGTCTCTTTGTCAGCGAGCTCAAGTACAATGCATTTGCCGATTGTCGTCATCCTTAACACCGCAACTCTTGATCCGTCCGGTGTGGGGGGATTCGGTTACCTCCATCACAGTCTGAGGCTGAGGGCTTGGTCTCGTCAAGGGCA